TACCATCTTCGAATAAAATAGAAAGTGAAAGATTTCACTACGACTTTTACGTTTGATAGAAAACGTACTTCGATTTACCTTCTCAGACTTCGATAATTCTGAATTTTCTAATTTTCCGCTGGAAACAAAAATTAATTCTACATCCAAGCGACCATCTTCAAACTCGTAAGCAACTCCTAATCCCATAGATATGTCGTATCTTGCCGAACGTCCGGCCAGTCAGTCACCCAATCCAACCCTCCACCTCCTCTCAATTTTTTTCTTTCTCTTTCCTTTTATACCCCAGAGACCCATTGCAAGTTTAAGCTGGTCGCATTACGAGCGTTCGACTCGGTTTCTCTCGGTTCAGCGTATCGCTCCAAGCTGCTCCCTTCTTTCCACTCTTAATTTAACCCTCCTGTTGGTAGTAACCCACCCCATTCCACTCTTGTCCTGGAAACCGCCCCTTGGAATTCATTTCGGATGTTTATCCGCGCCCCGGATGGACAGTCGATCCTCACGATCGTCGGATTAACTTACTCCGACTGCAATTCCAGCATTTTGGGGATGTCTAAGTCGAAGGGGTTGGATCGACAACAAAAAGGGTTAGTCGCTCGTGATTAATCGACCTCCGTGTGTCGCTCGGTTTACACTTCGCTACGGGGTTTTAACGCGAACGTGCCTCGTTCGTAACATTTCTATCCTCCTTTCTTCTTTTTACCAGCTTCATTGCCTCGTTACGTTTCGTATTACTCTCATAGCGCTGCAACGTGGATTTCTATGCGTTTACGGGAAATTAGAAAGCGCGGAGTTTGCCACGGCATGTGTAGTCTCGAACGATGAAAAAGGAAAATGCAGGAAGTATCAATCATTGCGAGAAAGTTCTGTAGGAAATTAATATGAGAAGATTGAAACGATAGTGATGATTATAAAAAATTGATGGACCATTAATATGGAAAAATGTATACAGAATTGAATTATTCTCAGAAATTGAAAAAAAAAGATTGCTATTAAAAATTCATGGGAGATTCATATGGTAAGACGCAGACAATATTAATTATTATCGGAGAGGGATACAATGTTAATTATTATCAAAACCTGATAAAACGTTGATACGAGGAAATTGATAAAATATTCGAAATACAGGGTGGATGGTAACTGGTGGTACAAGCGGAGAGGAGGTGATTCTGGTGATGCTACGCGAAAAAACAAGTCGAAAATATAGAATACAAATTTTTCGTTCGAGGCTTTGTTTTCGAGAAAATCGACTTTGAATTTTCGTTCGGTACGCCTGCACTTTATCACGTCTCGTTATAACGGACCCCACTGTAGATTTTTAGAAAAATTAAAAAAAAAATTAAAAAAATAACGTCAATCGAGACAACGATCTACAGTGAGATCCGTTATAACGAGACGTGATAAAGTGCAGGCGTACCGAGCCAAAATTCAAAGTCGATTTTCTCGAAAACAAAGCCTCGAACGAAAAATTTGTATTCTATATTTTCGACTTGTTTTTTCGCGTAGAATCACCCCCTCTCCGCTTGTACCACCAGTTACCAACCACCCTGTATAATGTTTTCCAGGTTCCATTTCTTTAATCATATTCTTAGAAATGATACTGACAACTAAAATTCTGTGGCATACCGGAAAATAATATATACAGTGGCTCGCGATAATACTCCGAATACTCGCGGGAACTTCTTATGTATATATTATACAAAACATTTTGAAATTTGATTATCATCGTAACGAGACACGATTACATGGCGATTAGGTTGATAAAATTTGAAACAGAGACGAGAACGTGTACAGTGGTTGCATTCTTTAGCTATCAAATTAATAACAAAATCAGTCAAATTAAAAAATTCGTCCCTTCAGGGACGAAGTTCGAGTTTGGTCTCTGTAGATGTGTCGCATAGAGTTTTGTCCGTCTAGTCTTGACCATGTCTGTAGATTAACTAAGCTACAACAGCCTCGATAGACACGTTGAAAATTTAAAGCTGGTCTGTCTTTGGACACCAAGAAGCCTTCAACTTGCTTATTCATTATTACTTTGTAACGCGTCTTCTGCGTCGTAAACCGCTCAAGCAACTAAATAACCAAATAAATAATAATCTATCGTTAATACGATCATGCATTCTTCCTGATAAATCCTGATAAAAACGAATAAAAAGATCCCAACGAAGATTTACATTGTCCTATTTTCCATGTTGCTCGACACACGACGAAAAGGGAAAATTATATTTCAATGACCGTTGAAATGCCCAGGAAAAAGTTCCATTAAGAACCAAAGCCAGCAAAATATTGAGAGAAGAGTCGAGAATAGTTGGAAACGAGAAATTTCTGCGAAACGTAAAATTCTTACGGGGAACCGGCGCTTCCTTGTCTTCGAAGCTTTCATCCAAAATCTAATTGACGTGGAGTGTGAGCTCGCGTCAATCGTCGATCTCCCCAAAACTGGGAAATAAAAATGGAAAACTGGTGTTCTCGTCGGCCACGTAAATACCAAAATTCGCCGCAATTCGTCTGGAATTCGGTAGAAGATCGTAGCGGATATAAAAAGTATGGAAACGGAAGCGTCAGAGAATTGGTAGAGAAATAATCGGTGAGACAGAGTTGCTGGGCGGAAATTGTTTTGTCGAGGATGAAATTTGGTGTTCCGGATCGCGGTTAAAGTCGACGGTAATTAGCCAGGACGGACGTGGACATGGACGAGCACTTTAAATGTCCGCCAGCCCATCGTCCTCCCCGCTGTTTAATTCGTTTATTATTCGATAAAGTTCTGACAGCCGGTTGGACCGGTGTCACCAAGCTTACCTGCCTGATCAACATCTCATGCCGGCGAAAGCTTGACGAAGCTCCACTTCCTCTATCGCGTTCTCTTTATTTAACCCCTCTTCGCTCCTTGATTGTCGGCTTGACGCACGTTTCAGCCAATTCTGATATGTTAAATAAATACCCTTCTTCTCCTTTTTATTATCCTCGTTAAGCTGTTTAATTGATATCACGCGAAATGGTAATTTACCAAGTGTCCATTTCGAGGTATTTTAATGAGAATAATTGGCATAGAGTTACGAGGCCCAGTGAAATTATTAGTTGGTCATTTTTCGTAGAAACGGCGATGGTAATTTTTTTGTAAAAATAGTAAAATGTGACGCCGAGTGGAAAATTGTTCAGTTTCCTCTTTGAGGTATTTTATTAGAAATAATTAGTATGGAGTTACGTGAATGAGCGAGGTCGTTGGTTGGACATTTTTTTCTAGAAATTATGTGTGCAGTGGAAATGTTGATCTTTTCGTTTGGTTGTATCTTTATCTTAGTTGTCGGTGGTTAAACGTAAATCTAGAGAGAAAATGAAGTTTTTTAATCGAGGCGGTGCGAGGTGGAAACGTATAAAGTTTCTGGCATTCCAATAAGACGTTAGAATTTAGCTTGTAAGGTATAATTGTAAGGCTGGATCTAATGAAATATTGCCGAGAGTGGTAAAGTCACGTGTTACTTTGGAAGGAAATTAGGAGTAGGTGTTTTTTTACGGAGTACGACTAATTGAAAGTGAACAAATTACGTGGTTATATTTATTGATTAGTTTCTGGGGATGTATTATATTACAGCTATGTATATCGCAGTAATATGTTTCAATTTATCTCTGTAATTTGTATCTGTATAAATTCTTTTATTATTTAAATCGGTTTTATTTTCCACGATCGTTGGATATTGTTTATAATTACACTGAAACTTCTAAATTCTCGATATGCATTTGTAATTCCCTCTTTTAGAACAGTCTTAGCAGCTCTCTGATTTACCGGCCAACGGTAACCGTGTAATCGGACTTGTAGTTTATTCATTTTCCATAGCGCTGTACTCCACTAATCGTCATTTCGCCTGCGTAAATATTCAAATTCAAGAATTAAGAAGAAAAGAGATTCTACTTTTTAGAATTCCCATCGTCAAATGAAGAAACAGCTTTGATACAAACGGAATTTCATACTAACAATATATTGAATTTTAAAATTGCTCCTCTAAGACAAGCTTCTTCTAAGGTAAGACATATAACTTACTATGTTCTTCACGCATAACCTTCAATTTTAAACAAACTCCTTTTAAAAAAAGATTGTTCTCGCAAGAAATTAGTTACCGATATATTGAATTTAAAAATCGCTGCTCTATAAACGATAGAACATATGATTTACCATGTCGTTGACCTGTGACCTTCGATTTTAAACAAATACTTAAAAAAGGACAATCTAATTTAAAGAAAACAGTGCCACCGTCCTATAACCTATATCGTAATCAATAATTAATGGCCGTCCACTTCCTATACGAATACAGATATACAGAAACACAAAGACAGAGGCATTAAGATTTCCTGGGGAAAATAAATATGTAATAACCCCATATTCGGTGCGACGTTAAACACAAATTTGAAAAAGGAACAGATATACCGAATTAAAGAATTGCTTCTCTGTGGAAGATGCAAGAGATATCAGCATATAACGAAGCATACGAGAGAAGAGCATAACCTAGCTTACGATATCTTTGACCTACTAATCTCCGGTCTTTCTATTCTTCTTCTTTTTTTTTTTTTTTTTTTTTTTTTTTTTTCTAGCGGAACGTTGAATCGGAAATGGTCCTTCAAATATTCAAAAAGTATGCCCGATTGATATGGAGCTGCGATTAAACGATAAAAGTTGCTGCAGTTCTTTGAAAACGATTCAATTTAGCCTGCACTTCTGCAGGTTAAAATATTTAAGGCTATTTCGATTCCTAGCAATTTCTCCATGTAACGTAACGTTCTCCATGTAATGTAACCAGTAGTTAAATAGAAATCTCATTGGAGTGAGAAAATTACTTGGTGTATCTTCAGAAATCAAAGAATATCGCCCCAATTGTAGCAACCAAACAAAGATCTGTCGATTATCTTGATTAATCAAAGTGGAGGTTAAAATATTTTTCAAATATTTTTTATCTGGAAGGGCAAATTTTTTTTTTTTTTTTTTTTTTTTTTTTTTTTTTTTTTTTTTTTGAAGGAAATCTCTGAAAGAGAAAACGAAGGAAAAGAAACTCCATAAAATATGAACCACAAGCGCCATGCACCCATTACGTATCCAACACGCCAGTCCTCTAATCTTCATCGAGCAAATTGACAGCCTCCGTTGCACTCGTTTCCTTTCGCTTGGAGGAGCTCCTTGTTTCACAGCTTCCGGTCCCTGGTGCTAATAAAATAATAAATACACGGCGCGCCGCTGGGGTCGATGGTGTTTCACACCTGCTAGCTAGATCGATGCCTTCTTCCTCTTTTATTATTTTTTCGCCTTGTTTTCCTTCTTCTTTTTTTACTCAACTAACCCCCCATCAGGGCCGTAGCGCCGACTTTACACCCCCTTACAATGCCTCGGCGTACATTACATACAAGCCGGTTATTTCTCCGGGGAGTTTTCTCGCGTGAATACCGCGAAACCACGCACAGCAAGGTAACACGCGCGCACACACTAACGTTTTAGCGTTAGACCACGCGGAAATTTCTCTGGTAAGTTCTACCTCTTTTTCCCACCTGCTGAAATTATCGGCTAAACGGAATCGCGATTTTACGGTATTTTTTCGTTTTGCAGATTAGTTTCTACGGAACTATGCGATTACGTGGTGTTTTATGGGCGGCCAGACTTTTTCTTCCCTTTTTGGCAGCAATCTTCGTGTAACCGAGAGGCAAATTGATTTACATGCCTGTTACTTCTGTCCTACGCTATCTCAAGTTCTCGCTAGAGAGATGAATATATTTAACGATCGTTGTTAACGTTAAATGTCAGAGGAACGAAATTTGTCTAATTGATCGGGCAAATTTAGAAATTGGAAATTTATAATAAACGTTCTCTGGATCGATACGAATATCGTACGTTGCGTCGTATTTTTCTTATATTAAAAATATTCGTTCAACTTTCCTATACTGGCAGAAATTAATCGGCAATTTAATTTACCAAGCTTCGTTTATCGCAACATTTAACGCGATTCAACGATCTTTCGTTATTAAAACTCTCTACTAATTTAGTCAGGCAATAATTTAGTAATGCAGTGGAATTACAATTTCTTTATTTTATTCAGAGTTTGTAAATTGCTTTTGAAGTTTTGAATATGCACTTTTATATCGTTTTAAATTGTTTCCTGAATTTTTTCATTCAACGTTCAAATGATTAGGCGTCTTCAAGTTATCCCTCGAATTTCTAGATTGAACTCTTGAACTGGTTCTACATTTTCTTATGAAATGAAAGTATGGTCTGTCGCAGAGTATTTTTCATACGTAATAACATACGTTCATTGAGAAAACTTTAATAATCGTAAAAAGATTCACGATACCACGTTCATGATTTTCAGACTTATTCGGTGAAGCACGCGATCTTTCTATGACTACGATGTAGGCTGGATGAAACGATAACCAGGGTCGTCGAAGACGACGCGATAACGCGAAATCGGCGACGAGGTCTGGACCAGCGAAAAGTTTCCGGCGCCATAAGGATCGTACGCCTCGGGCCGGTCAGGGTGAAACTTTTCGCCTAAATTCCCCCGGGTGCCATGAGAAAGCATCAGTCCCACCATCGTCGGGGAGAGTACAACGCCCCTGAAGTGCAAAACGTCCTGCTACCAGTCACCATCTCCGCGTCAAATAAAACAACCGACAAACAATCGTCAAATAATAGCATCCAGAGAAATAATACAATAACAGAATAATGGAATAGTAATAACGCAGAAAAAGTAGTACATCGATAGTATAATAGATGGATACTAACATTGAAAAGTAAAACGATAGAAGTAGAATGCAATATTTAATAATAGCGCATAAAAATTTCCTTCTTTCTATTGTTAATCCATTTAGAACTAGGAATTCGTATATTTTATTTGCAATTTTTTTTTCTTTTTTTAATATTCTTTGCTTTGCTAGAATTTGAGGGCTTTTCTTTTCTAATTTTTCCGATCTCTTCCTTTCTGCTCGTAATGTCTTCTAGCAATAATTTGTTGGAAATATAACGAAAGCAACGAAGGTATGTTATTATAAAATTCGATACAGGTAATAGTTGGGATGGGTGATTTTTGGTGTTTGATAAGAGTCGAAGACACAGGAATAGTTTGTTTGTATGGGCAGAAAGTTTGTACATGCAGATACATATACGTAGGCAGAAACTTTATATAGGAAATATTTTCTTTTTTATATTTATTTATATATATTATTATTATTTATATATATTTATATATATTTTGTATTTAATAGGATTGAGCAGAGAGGTCCTTTCTGCTGGTCTTTAAATATTAATAGGATGGTGATAGCACAGAAAAATAATATACCACAGAAATTCGTTCTCTTTAATTTTCGCTCATTTAATATCCATATATTTTAGTTGGAGTTTTGCATTTTTAAGATATTCTTCGCTTTGGTAGAAATATAGAGGGAGAAAAGGAAGTGTTTTATTTAAGAATTCGATACATATGTATAGTAATGGTTGATTTTTTATGGTCGATAGGACTCGAAAACGTAAAACTGGTTTAGTGAGAAACTTATATAGCCAACTATAAAAGAAATATTTTCTTTTTCTTATCCGATAGAATTTAGGAAATTGGTCTCGCGAGAAGTTTGTGTCTTATTTATTTAAATAAGAAAATTGATCGAAGATAGATGTTTATCAGAATTAATCTCTTTTTATATCTGATTGATAGAATACAGAAATCTAAAGGTATGCAATAATTGATAGGCAAAATTTGAAATTTAGTAATCCGCTTCTCTATTATATTTTTTACTATTTTTCAACGATTGATATCCAGAATTTGAAATTCAACAATTGCTATTCTGTTTACCCATCACATTTTCAACTTGACATTTTGTCAATAAATATCAACTTAATTGACATTTAAAATTTGCAAGCAATTTTCTTGTATTGTACAACGCAATAATTGATATTTAGAATGGTAAAATTTTCAGAAAATCGCTTTCACACGACATCCTCTAAACAATCTTCTGCTTCTGATTTAATTATTATTCGGACTCTGAATATTGGCGAACTAGTCGTGCAACTTTGTATCTACTCATCAGCTTGAGAAACCAGATGAATTCCAAAAAGGTGCAATGGAAGTTACTTGGAGGCAGGAGCCAGTCACGATCCATTAATGTTTTTCATTGGTAGTACGTAGCGGTTTATTCGTAATCTTGTAGCATATATACCATACAGTCGACGATGCGTTAAAGGGAGCCAGGATTCTGCTGCCTCAGTAATTTTAATGCGAATCGATGTTGAAATCCTGTGTCTTATTGCGATCATTCCACCCGTTGCGTCGTGTCGAATCGATACGCTGTTTAATCCTGTATTTGATCGTTTGATTTCACTTCCATCTCTTTTCTCCCCTTCTGACAACACAGACTTGCAACATTTTTCTTACCACGTTCCTATATTATTTATTACCATTATAAATTTCCCACTACACGAATTTTCCTATAATTTATATTCGATATTTGGATATGGATAGAAGATATTATAGAAATTGTTCATAAGAATAGAACGTTCCTGTTGAAGTTAAAGAAGTTCGTTTTATAAAGTTTGTAGAATATATTACCCTTTGGTAGGAAAAAATATTGCATCGTTTAGAATCGCATACCTAGCAGCTTTTTATCTTGCTGTCCAAAGTTCGCAAGATTTAATAATATTTTATAGATAACATACTCTACGTAATATTTTACAAATAATATTTTTTAGCTTCTGGATTTTCATTCTTTTAGAACACGAATTTTTTGTCCCTTTTTTCTTTTAATTTTGCATCTTCTAAAAAGTCTGCCGAAAATTTTATTCTACTTCCAGTATTGGAATTTTGTATTCTTTTGTCCCATCATCTTAACAATTTTTCAATCAGTTTACGATAATAATAATGATAATAATAGAAGGTTGAAGTATTTAAAATTGAAGTACCGAGGTATTTATTCAAGGTATAATTTTGCAACAGAGAGTGAAAGGGATCCGAGTGCTTCAGAGTGCCAATTTCGACGAAAGGTATAAAAGACGATCGTTTGAGTCGATTGACTCACAGTAGCCAGCTTTTCGCGTGGTATCTCGATTTGGAAAGCGGCCCAAACGTTTAATGAACATCGTTTCGAACTCGCGTGTTGTTCACGGCGTCGCATCGAGCCGATTGACCCATTTATATTCGATTACTCAGCCGACTTTCTTCTTCTCGTGGCTCAAAATACAGCCGGTGCACTTTGTTGCATCGTTAGAGCAACGTGGTCAACCCTTTCGCTATTACCAATTGTACTTCGTGTGACGAAAGCTATGGCAAAAATACCTTTCCACTTACTATCTTTTAATTTCTTTCGAGAAATTGCAAAAATATATGTTAACAACGGAAACGAAGAAAATTGGATTCTACTTAATTTCACCATTGAATTTTCGTTTCTTCTACCTTTTGCTTCCGGCGAGTTAATCAGCGCTTTCAGGAATATACAGGGTGTGGTCGAAAAACGCGTAAAGACGGACACGACGTGATTCCTGGGGAAAAAAATTTGGGAATGTCTCTAAAGCAGTTTGTGGATAAAATTCTAATGGCAGAAAAATACAGCCTGAAATTTTCCTTAAGTTTCCATACGAACATTTGCAACGATCGCACGAAAACGCAATGATATTTTATCACCAACTACTTGGCCTACTTCCCCATAAGGTGACTCGATCGATTACCAAGGAAAATGACGTTACGAAGCTATGAGGAAAATCGAGCGAGCCAGAAGCTGTCAAAGCTTGAAAAGGGCTAAACGAAATAAAATCAGGAAACACCAAGTTCCGCGACGTTTTACTTTACACGTCGAGGACGAGACAGATCTTCGAAAATCAACGTTTTTCCATCAAACACGGATAAGTTTGGAAAACAATGATTTCAGCCACGTATCCGTAAGGTTCGCGATAATTCCAATTACATAAAAAAGAATTGCATTAAAAAAAACCATTGCATACGAACGTGACACAAAAATGATACAGATGTTGACCGATCTTTTAACACACACACACACACATGTACATAGGGTAGACTTGAAATATTATTTTACGATTCTAAAATACTAAGAACGTTATTTCGCAGCTAGAAAATATTATTTTCCAGCTACGAAACATTTCAGATTAACGCTAATCTCACCAGGCCTGGTCTCAAAATTTAATTCGAAATTGCACGTTCGTTGTTATTTCTTTCGCTGGTCTAACTTTCTGCAAGTTCTTTTATTAACAAAAATTGAGAAATTTATCGATCAGATAAGACAAGAATTTACATAAAATCAGATGATTAGTGTTAAATAGTAGTAAATTCTTGCACCATAGCTATCACGAAGAAAGAATAATTCGTAGAAAGAGATTAAATCAAAAAGAAAAAAGAAAAAAAAAAATGGGATCTAGTGTAGAAAAGGCTTAGAAGCGACGAGTGTGTATAATGTATTTTAGCGGTGTGTTTATTAAACGACATAGGGATCTGTCTTTCGGGAATGGAGCACGCGTTATTTGCACGGCCGCGATTGCGACAAGGTAGCACGGTATAACAGGTAACGGCTCGCTTACGAATGCAAATGGGCTAAATTAATCCTAGCCGGGGCTGAGTGCTAGGTAATCATCATTAGCCGGGATTATTGTTTTCCCGGAGCTGCGCGTTTCCAGTCTCGGAAATTCTGCTCGTCCTGCCCGATCGTAATACACGGTCGAAGGAGAGGAAACCCTCGATGAAACCATTATCGGAAGTTATAGCCTTCGATCTTTGATACTTCGCGGGATACTTCTCGTAATTGCACCATGTTTCTATATGGTGAACACTTTTCGAACGAACGAGGCAGCTTGGAACGTTCGAAAGAGTTAATTAGGATATTAGAATAAGAGCAAATAATGAGAATAATGAATAGCAAGGAGCTATTGAGACGTGTGATGGAAGAGTTCGAAAACGAAGGAAAATTGAAGGAATTAAAGGCGAGCAACGATACACTCGAACAATTGACTGTTGACGAATAGTTGGCAGACAAATATTTCGAGGAGCGAAGGAAGCCCGGCTGCGAGCTTGGCAGGAAAAGAAACGAAGAAGAGAACAGAAACCGGAAATTAGACTTTCATTTTGTGAGCGAAAGCAATATTCACTTTCGTTTTTCCTTGCTGAACAAATTTTTTTTCATCTTAGAAAAATTCTATACTGGAATAGATTCTACGATCTCTGTTTCATAGAATTTTAGACGAGATGGAATTTTACACGCCACGCATGTTAAACACATCACTTTGCGCATTGGTATATCGCTTAAATATGCTTGGACAAAATCGTATAAACCTTGCCCCAGTTTTTCGACTTGGAGTTAGCGCAAACGCGCGTTCAAAGCTTCGTGTCTTGAAATTCTATATTTTTCTCAAACGTTCGATTAATATAGTAGATTTGTTCGATCGTATAATCTTCAACCTGCAATCTCGTCGATTGTTCGCGTCATGAAGGGTAGCGTAACAACGTTCGGCTTCCACCTATCTCTATTTTCATCTCAATATTCTATATTTTTCTTAAGTTAATTTAAATAAACACGTAATGAATTGCTTCGAATTTTCGGTGATCGCAGGGTGCGAGCAAACTCTATTTTCTTGAAAATGAAGAACCTTCTGGCGCGTAGACTAACGTTCTTCTTACTGTTTGCTCGAGTCTAGCCATGGATATCAAACAAATTTCCAAAATTAGTTTTCTCGACAACTCAGCCTCGGACGACAAAATTTGATTCCATATTTTCTTCCTATCTGTTTTACAAGAAATCACCTCGCGCGATTAAAAGATTTTATCACACAGCGTGTATACACTTGCGTGGCCATGCACAGGAATGTGGCCGTGTTTACGGAAACACCGTACCTGCTTCGGGTAATCATTCGATATCACGTTCTTGTTTCTCAACGTGTGCTGTCGTGGCTTTTCTGACATCGCGTGTTCTTGCTAATTCTGTCGCGTTTACACTTTCCAGTTTTTGCAATTACACCGTCTTTTCTCTCGATACTCGCGCGTCTACTAGTTTCATACCTACAAATTCCTACGATGAGAACTCGCTCGATCGAATATGTCAAAGAGTACGTTGTACACGAACGCTAATAAAATATGCCTGGGGAATATTGCAATACTTCGAATAACACAAAGTTTATTAGGATATTCGAACGAAAAGGAGTTCTACT